TGAGGAAGGTCACACTGGCCTCAATGTGCACACAGGCTGTAGAGGGTAAAACTAGGTCTAGGAGATTCAAGGTCATCAGGTGAGTGTGGAGGAGGACAGAGGGTGGCGAGAGTGCTGGATGGGGAGGCTGATGGGGGACATGGAGCAGCAGGGCCAACAAGGACCTTGGTTTCTAGGTGAAGTGTGAATGGGATGGGGTTAACCAGGGCATGAGGAGTGACAGGCAGGTTTTGGTCATACTCCACAAGTCTGATATGGGTAGCAGAGCATAGGGATCTACTGCTAGAATGGTTAGAGCCAGAGATAAATTCAGGCATCATGGGTACGCTGGAGGTATTGGGTGGGCCCCATGGATGAGGTCATCCAGGAGGAATGAACTGGGAAGAGGATCCTGGGCAGCACCAGCATTAGAAAGGCTCTCAGGAAGGAGCCAGGCCTGTGCTGCCCATCCTCCCTAGTCTCCCCTTATCTGCCCCAAGATTCTTCTCAAAACCTCACCCCAGGGAACCTCCATACAGCTCGGCCAACACCACCCATGGGAATGGCCTTCCCTCCTGACATTTACCAACATGACAGCCTTAACCGAGCTCTGACTTGGGTTAGAGCTGGTTGTGCCTGAGCCTAACATACAGTCCACAAAGCATGGCTCTCAGGATGTGACTCTAGAACTACTGAGCAAATCTAGGAGCATCGTGTTCCCAGGCCCTGTCGGGAACTAGGTAAGTTCCTGACAAAGAGACATTTGAAGCCATCAGGCTCTTTGAAAAAGGATATATATATATATATATATATATATATATATGTAACAGATCATCGCAAGTCCAAACACCCAGCATTAAACCAAGATTGCCACTTAGTGACCATCACTGCAAGTCTGTATGTGCATATTATGTGGATGCACAGGGTAGATATACAAAGAGGTGGGAGCAATTTGATTTTACAAAGATCATACTAAATTTGCTATTTCAAAATTAAAACCATGAAATTTAATCTTACTAGAATTTAAGAGAAATAAATTAAAATGGAAGTAGTCTTTAGATGAACATCAACTTGTCACAAGATATGACTTCTTACAAGACCCCTCCAAAAGGAGGCGGGTAATATAATCCACCCAAAGGCCGAGTCATTCTGTCATGTCTTAGTGACAGTTTCAACTTAGATGCCGTGGGTTGACTGCTGGTTGACATTCTTAGCAAGTACACCCCCTTTCTTCCACCTACCCCCAACTTCAGTTGCTGAAGTTATTTTTACCTTGACAGGTTTTACAACATTTACATTCTCTTCTGCAAGCAGCCTTCAGCAGGTTGCTATTCCCAGCGCTGTTCTTGGGTTGGCTTGAAGATCACCACCCTTCATTCTCACGGCGGCACCGCCTTACTGTGTTGTGTTCTTTCCTTTCAAATCACTTCTTGGATTACTTTCAAAAAGGGCTTGGGAGAGTTGGTGGTGGTGGTGTTTTTTCTGCGTGTTTCTGACTGAAGAAAATGCTGGCTTCCTACCTAGCTGGACTCTACGTTGGTGGGTACACTGCTCTGGATCATGCCCTCTGTCCTATAGAATGAGGTGGGCCGTTGCTTTCTCCTCTTGTCAAGACACAGCAGGCCTGATATCTGTGGCCTTTCATTCCCTACATTCTGAACCAATGGAGCAATGAGAGAGTAAGGACTGATATCAGAATGGATCCCAGGTGTACTAAAGCCCAGAATGAGACAATCAGGGCCGGGCTCTGTCTGTTTAAAACTTCTTCCTAGGAGCAGGCAATGTGTGCTTCCTT